AAAAGTTGGATTTTGTGTCAGAATATCTTTATTAGACATATCCTAAGTCGCGCTTTCCAGACATCAAAAATGCAAGTGGAATTTCGTCAATCGGCCGAGTAGAACGGGAGATCCATGGAACTTCCCCTTTTCTTTTTTGGCGCACTCTACTTACCTTCTTTAGGTGGTGGTGTATTTAATTATGGCAAAGCACACTAGGTCTATCTGCCTAAGGGGAGGGATGCCTTCGTGGAGGACTTTCTAAGGGAAAATGGCTCGTATACACGTTACACATGGGGAAAACCACGAAAACGCCCATGCAGCCAGCCCGTTCGCGGGATTCGAACCTCGGACCGAACTACCAGTGTTCAGCGACTTTACAGCTCGGCCGCTGGTGGGCCTTTTAGGCTTCAAAAAGAACTGCAGTTATATTATATATATATATAATATGTAACTGCAGTTCTTTTTGAACGTGAAAAATCAATTTGCCTTCACATAGATTCGAAAACGGATTTTGCAGTGAGATGACTGTGATATCCTTACACTTACCCCTATTTACAGGCGGACTGGGCAGAGAGACACACAGTCGACGAAATGTCGTCAACAACGAATTCCAGTCCATCACATTTTAGTTCGGGCGGCACTGTGCAAACTATTATTCTTTTCGCATGATGAAGCATAAAAAAATCATCAACGACATCTATGGGATTATTAAATGGACGTGCTAACCATTTGCATTATAAATGTATGCGAGGTGGAATGCAATAATTCGTTTCAAAATAAAATGATGATGATTTCTTGAAACTATTCAAACATCTGCCCTGTTTGCTGAGTTTTATATTTGTTTCAATCTATATAGTATATGTTAGATCGTTTTAAGCAATAAAAAAGAGACATGTTTATCGAATTACGAAATAAAAACATTCAAATAATATACAAATTCTTTATTATAAAGAAACTATTTACAATAGACAACAGACTCACAGCTGATAATTCTAGACCAATGGTAACTTGAATATTTCAAGTTATGGCGCATCAGGCATACGGCTTGAAATCTGAATCACCACATTCTATAAAATAAATGTAAATACAATATATTTTCTCTCAGGAAAAACTGAGTTTAAATATCACATTCCTTAACAAATGTTAACGTCAAAGCATCGGAATGTAATCTTAGCACCATGTCATAAAAACATAGAACCTATTTTCATTATTCAACAGTCAGTCATATTTCAGTCTTACACAATTTGATACATGATTATTCGCATGAAACATTTATTTGTCTCTGCGAATAGGTATTGCCATTCAATTCTAATTCACAAATAAAATTCTTCAGCAGACGATATATATAAAAACACGGGTAGTTTTACATACATTGCTACATTAGTTCCAAGCTTCGCTTTGTAAAAAACATCCGTTCCGTGAAATTTGAGGCTACATATTTTAGAATTAAATTCTTTTTCACACTTTATTCTAAAAATGTATTGTTAACGTTTATTAAAGCAGGATTAATTACATTTCAACTTGCCATTTTTATAAGTAAAAGAATTTTTTGAAAGAAGATATCGGTTTGGTAATGTTCACAAGCTTATATTTTTTTAATTTACAATTACTTCTAGCACCATTTGACTTAGCACATTCTAAATTTAGAAACGCTGTTTACCAATGTTAAATTTAATAACACTACATTCAGCATTTCATTAAAAAATGTAATACTTTTTCCCTAATCACTATTCTATCATAGTATTAAGATCTCGGAGCCTAGCATTCATATGTACGAAAATATATGATACTAATAATAGTATTTAGAAATGGGATTACTGAACATTTCACGATTATATAAAGTAGGAATAGTGTTATATACAGAATTACGCAAAGGAAGCTATTGGAAATGTTTTCAGATATTTATTTTCAGGGGGGTGAATATACAATCAGTTTTATGATTCTAGAATAATGATAATGTAAAATTAGTTTGTTACTAAATAAATAAAAATAAAATAGAAATATGAATAAAATAACTATTTAACTACCAATATAAAATAACTTGAATAGGAATGGCCATAAAAATTGGCTAAGTATAAAGTACAATTTTGAATGGTTTTTCACTCTAATACCACAGACTATACTTTTCAGACACTTTATTAATTACCATAAATACAAAATCACAAGACACTCTTACATAATATTCTGAATTATTTCAAGATTATCTCACACATCAAAGACAATTCGAGAATATCTCAGTTTTATTTCAAAATTCGAAAAAGCAACTTTTGATTATTTAAAATTTTTACGAGCAATTCTTAATACTTTTTACATTTTTCAGGATGTTCTCGAAATTTAACTTTACAACATCTCACTGCTCTAATGTAAAAAATCGCAAAATAAATAAAATTTCTATTGAGAAAGGAGAAATATGAAATTATCATTATAATGTTTACTAGTGTTCAAGATTATTAAATTAATTATTTAACACTAGCAAATCAATTATTTCCATTGAAAACTTCAATTCCAAAAATACCATTTAGCCCTTCTATTACGTCTTTTTTTTTTTTAGAAATTCGTTTAAAGGCACGAAAATTAAAACACAAACACTGTTGAGAGAAAATAGCTCTGTTTCAATTGTATATACATCTCTGTATACAGAGAATCACATTCAAGATAACCATACAGCGCTTTCTATATGGGCCTTAGAAAATTTAATTTTTTTTTTGGGGGGGGGTCTTTGTTGAAAGCAAACGAAATTTATGACTAAACATCACGCTTTTTCAAAGTTCAACAATATGAATGGTTACAAGTTTCCAGCCACACAGTAACCTTAGCTTGCAAAATAGTGTATGGTAAAAATTCTCATACTAATGCTGAAGATGATGCCATTACATTAGGGTCAATACAATCACGAGTGGAGCAAGAGGTGAGAAACTCCTTTCCCTACAAAATTACGATATACGAGCAGAAATATTATGCAGCTTCGTATTATCAATAAAGAATACAAAAAGTTACTGTCTGACTTTGGCTGATATTAATGATCGTATGAGTTAAAAAAAAAAAAAAAAAGAAAAGAAAAAGAAAGAAGAAGAGTTTCTGTTAGAGATTTAAGGTATAATTTACTTTAGAAGATGCACTGAAAACGAGCAAAGGTCAAAACTAGCTTGAAATCCGTAGTAGTATAATGGGTTTTATCGTTTAATGTTTCTTTGTTCGTATGGCAACGCTCCTTTCTTCATAGAATACCTAAACGAGTTTCTTTTGCTTCCCAATGGAAAGCAACTTTTGTCTCATCCACCTATTCTCTGACGGTTTTGTAAATGAATTTATTTAAAAAAAATATCGATAAATGTATAAAATCAATTAGTATAGGCTAAAACTAACTTCCATTTTTCAAAATTATTTTGCTTTAAAACTTTTATTCATGCTTATATATTATGACAGGCTTTCAAATTTTGTCTCCCATTAATATATTTCAGAATTTTCGTTCATTAAGAAGATCTAATAATTGCCTGTGCCCACAACGCCCCGATCTAGGGCCTCAGATTTTAGTAAGCCACCACATCACCCTAAACCTCTTTATAATCTAGATCAGCGGTTCTCAACCTTTAGAATAACGCGTACTATCCAAATAAAAAATTGAAAAACTTTAATACCATCACTACATTTTACAATGATTATTTTTCAATTTCTCAATAGAAATTAAATATATATATATATATATTGTCATTTGCACAACCTATTGGCTATTTGTATTAAATACGCACACAGAAAAAAGTATTAAGATTAAAAGTTGGTTACCATTTTAATTACGAAAATTTAAGTTATAATAGGTTAATTCTAAAATTTAGTATGAAATGTGGACTTGTTTAAGAGAGATCAATTCCTTTATGTCTGGTCTTATTTCACTTAGCTTTAACCGTAAATTAGGCTCCACTTTTAATTTTGTTCTGTACTTATTTTTGAAATACAACATGGAAGAAAATCCTTGTTCACACAAACAGGTTGTGCGAAAAGCCAATAAAAATTCAATAGCTTTATTTGAAATGCCTTTAAATTCTCTTTTTTGGTTCGGCCAGAAGTTAACAAGTGTGTTATTTTTGAAATCTTCAGTAAGAGTTCGATCACATTTTTATCAATTGTTCTTTTTCTTCAGAAGATTTTTGGATATATAGTTAAAAATACTTTGTTTCTTTGCATACTACCTACTTTTCTCTTGCGTACCACCAATGGTACGCGTACCACCGGTTGAGAATCACTAATCTAAATCTTCTCACAGTGAGACAAAAGAAAATGAGAGCTAACGCTCCTTGAAAGAGCGCTGCGGTTAACATCCTATGCTGCAGGCGCCATTTAATAAATGCAAAAAAAAAAAAAAAAAAAAAAAAAAAGAGAGTGAGAGAGAGAGAGAGAGAGAACTATATTGTCGCTGTTAATGCAATATATGGCATATGAAATAAAGCTGCTTTACACGAGGCAAAGGAAAAGAACATATCTGTTATGTATTATAAACATAACGGATTATCACTGCGCATGCTGGAATTCACGCTCACATTTCTCTTTTACATATGACGTGTTAGAGGCTAGATTATATCAATTTCCATTAAATGCCGCCGTTAACTCTTCAAGTCACGTGCCCTGTTCGGATAACTTGCAAACAGGAAACTTACGGGAATATGTGCTTCCAGCATCTCAAATATTTTCATACTGCTACAACAAGACTTATTAAAAATTTTCAGTATTTTCAGTTTTAAAAAAGTGATTATCCTAGACCCTTTTTCTTGAAATAAAACAAAAATTAATTTTTTTTAAACATAAAAATTGGCAATTTTCGACCTATCGCAGTATTTTACTCATAGCAATGATGCGTTAAGCGAAACTTCCACAAAATACTTATGGCCATGGAACCTAAAAAACATACGTTTCCAAGAAACACTCATATAAAAGCTGCTATTATTATTGCACTTCATGGCATTTTAGCCTGTTTCTCATATTTTCAATGTTTAATAATCAGAAAATATTTGAGTAAATAATATTTTATACTAATATCATTTTATTTCGAATTCATTTAAAAGCATGATTGCGTAAATGATATATCACATACTGTCTGCATAAAATTTTATTATAAAAATTTTAAAATGCTTTCCTTAAATTAGATTTACTTATCTGTACAGCAAATACTATTTAAAAGAACACGGAAATATTTAAAAAAATACTATCATAAAAGCATTACTTCTTTTCTTACTCTTTAATAGCCAAATTTGGAACACGACTTAATGTTTTTCACAAATTACAAAAAAAAATGACCAGAGGAGCAATGACTTAATCAAATTAGTCCCAGTAAGTTCAAGAAAGTTCAACTTTCTGCGAATCGTACAAGGCTGAGAACCGTCTCGCTTCAAAAAGATTTATTTTCAGAAAGTTTCCCTTAAAGAAATAATTAACTCTTGATATCTACACTTCAGCTACTCTATCAATAGATTTTCCAGATGCACAAGTTTTGGCGAATCTGCTTGCAAGAGTAAAACTACCGAAGCATAAAAATCCACAGTTTCGCCACAAGTTAAATGCATATTGACTGGCCATTATGTCTTGACGTTCAGTCTCGTTTCAGAAACATCAAATGGCCCGTCGCTTATTACGAACTGACACGCTCACCAGGAGACACAAGAGTTGCTATTGAGAAGAGCTTTTTCTTATCGTCCAGAGCAACACTGGTAACGTGCTGGAAACAGCATGGCGTGGAAATGTCACATTTTCTAGGTTGTTTCACCTGAAAAAAAAAAAAAAAAACGCACATATTAGATGGAAGAAATAACACGTCAGTTTTCGAGAGAAGTAGCACTAAGCTTTGAAGTTTGACATTAAGCAAAATTTAACCTCGTACAGCAGTTGGTTTCATAGAAAAGGTGTATGCACAGTGTTAAATAGAGTTTGGCATGAATCCACTCTTTTTCATACAGTTAAAATATCCAAAGAATTTTTTTTACATGTAATGTTTGAAACTGCGATATTATATTTATGAAAGTACTCTCTGTAATATGTTTTCTCCTTAAAAAAGAAGGGTTCTCAATTTTTTACATCATCAACAACAATCTAATGTTAAATTAAAACAAACATATTGCATGATAAATACTCAAAAGCATGCAGCAAAAACAGTTAAGCTATGTCTCTTATATACACGTAGATAGTAGTTATACACAGACTGGTCAAAATATCGAGTGACCAGTTATTTTTTTAACATAATCCAGTCTTGACATAACAGCTAGGAATTGTTTGTACAAGGTACTGTGATCTTGAGAAGAATAGTTATTGCCGGAGTTAGTGTGAAAATGGATAAAATCTGAACGACTCAGAACCGTGCATGATCGAAGGTGCAAGAAGACCCGGTTCGAAAACTCTGAAATGGCTAATTCCACGCTTTCCTCGTGTAACAGTATTTTGGATGTTTAGAAAATGGTAGCTAAAGAAAAAACTTCAAGCAATAAGGACAATTCTGGCTAGGAATGCAGGCGAAGGAAAGAGGTGAAAGTCGGGTTGTTACAAACCGTTCCCAGTGATAGGAATCTAGCAACACCATAAACTGCAGTCAAATATATTTCACGCGTACCATAAAGCATATCCGAACGCACAACGCGATGAACTTTGCAATAGAAAGGTGTTAACAGCAAGAAATCCTCAAGGATGGCTATGTTTTCATAGATAAACAGAAAATCACGATGCTCTAGTATTTGAATAGGTGTTACTGTGGGCCCAACAGCACTAAAACTGGACTCTTGAAGACTGGTAAAAAGTTGCTTGGTCCGATGCTTGGTTTCCTATTCCATCGTGCAGAGATTTCAAAGTCCAAATATGGCGTAAACAGGACAAATTCACAAACTCCTCTTCTAATGAAAATTCTTCACGCTGGTGGCCGTTGAATTATAGTTAGATCAATATTTTCCTGAAATACGGCCAGTCTGTTTATATATCTTAAAACAGCTGTCAGGGTCACAGTTTACCTCAATACTGTTGCCAACCACCTACACTCATTTATAACTAAGACGTTCCTTTTCCCCGGCGTTCGACTTGAAGTGGACAAACCTTGGCGTTCTGTCTAAGACCTGTACTTAGACTCGGCTCCCTGGGGTACATAAATTATCTTCACAGAATAAGTGCCACCAATTCTTCGGCAGTCCGTTCAGGTTTGGAAGTCTGTTTCAAGTCTACCTAGTCTAGTCTGTTTCAAGCTGTGTGATCAATACATATTCGATTCTGTAAAGATTATCCTTGAAAGTTCACATCCGTTAGTCAACTCAGGAGGACTGACGTTGTCTTTGTTTTTTGGTGACCAGAGAGTGCCTGGTCGCCCTGTCTTGTGCTCACAAACCTGACTTTTTCGTTGTCTCCCGAAGTTGATCTTCCGTAGAGGTTGAGGAGTCACTCCATATAAAAGACTATTTTAAAGCCTAGATCAATGCACTGTGATGCGAGTCCTGATGCACTGATGTGAGTGCACCCCTAGTGCACTGTGATGTCCACTTTCAGCAGAAAATGAGTTTTGCCACCATGGACGACTGATTTCTCATTGGTTTGAAGAACATGACTCGGATTTCATATAACTTCCATCCCCAGCTCAGTTCTTTGACATTTATAGAAAAATGTAAAAGCACTTCAAAACTTGAAAACGCAACCATCCGATATGAGATTAGAGCTCCTATTGTATAAGAATAAAATAATATTCCTAAGCAACGATTTCAGTGTGTTCCTGAGTCCATGATTAGACAAATGTCGATTGTGATCAAAACTTAAGTTGCACCTTTGTGTTACTAGGAGGTATCTCAGTGTACCTCCTACTATAATTTCCATACCTATATGAGACCAAAATTAATTGCTCACTTAAAGGAAAAAGGGGTTCGAGGAAACAATATCAGAACAGCTGAAAAAATTTTTTCAAGAGTGAAGTAACGAAAAAAAATACATGTCTTACCTACCGCACTTTCAGAAGCTGTTCAACACGCGCATGAATATGTAATTTATGTTTCTATTTTGTTTGTAAAATTGTAAACATTGTAAAGTTCCATTATGCTAATCTAACCAGTTATTCTGATTTAGATCTTTACTGCCACTTCTCCTGTCCGCTTTCTACCAGGATGTAAATATATAACTATATTGAGAGTATTTAATGTGCGGTTTTCGGATCGTAAGAGCATGTTTCTGCCTTTCGAGATCACGTTAGTAGGTTTCTGCTACTCAGATAAGATTATTCGGCTTTGCGTTATAGCTGCCATCATTTTTAATCGTTATGCCGGTGAGATATTTTTTAGATAACTTCAGGTTAAATCGAATGTATATAGTCTTGCACTACTAGGTTTAGTTTATATTTGAATTTTGACTGTTACTTTAAGTTATATCGCCACAAGTGGTATTTGATTTATAAGCACGAGAAGTGGTTTTTGTTCAAGTTCTGATTTAATAAGAAGTTTGTTTTTAAACTTTTTTTTTTTTTTTTTTGAATTTTTTTTTCAGACACAACGGCCATTCGCTCTAAGTCTGTTAGAAATTTCGATAATTTATGCTACCAAAAAACACCAAATTCGGTAATATACTATATGCATATCATTATTGTGACTTATAATTTTGTAGAGTTGACATTTAAAAATATTATGGCAAATATGAAATTACACTTTAGCTTAATATATTTCCTAATCTGCATTTACCTATTCTCGAACAATTAACGTAAGTTCAAACTGTTACTTACTGTAAACGTTTGGCCCTGTAAAACGTCTGTTTTTGACATTCTCAGTTTCTAGAAATCATCTATTATATAAGAAATCATACAAACAACTATTTCGAAAAAGCAAATTTCAAATCCATATACAAAAAAAAAAAAAAAAAAAAAAAAAAAAAAAGCACTAACACATGAGACTATCATCGTTTTTTCTTTATCTTTCTTCATTTTACTTCTTAATATTTCTCATTTGTGCGTTTACTCGTCTGTTATTTAATTCTCAGCGTGGTACAAGAAAAAACAGTGGAAAGACACTTTTAACCTCCTTTTTTTCCACTTGAAGGCTTCTATTGTTCTTATATTAATGTACAAATAAAGTTTATACCCGGTTGAACAGTTACAACTAGCTGTAATTATTCCTGTACGCGGAAAATTAATGACTTTAGACATTTTCAAGTACTGTGGGCTATCAAAATTTCAAAAGCTTTCTTATTTGCTGAAAATAAAAAAATGCATTTCTGGGAAGACCTTTCAATCTAACAGGGGAGTGGCACGAAAGGTTGGAAGTAAAACGCGAATGTATTTTATTAACGGACTAAGAAAGCACACAAAAGAATAGAATCTAAATCGGTATTTCTTCAATAATTGAAAAGCACACTCTTTCTCTTGAACAAATATTTAACATTCAAAATCTCTACCTTGACATTTCTCTGCCATACAGTGAAATGAATCATTTTTATGAAACTATTAATAAATCTTAACGTTAATAATTACTAACTTACACAATGCAACTCCCCAATCTGCTATATAAATATTCTCTTTTAATTTATACTTAACCCAAGCAATCTTCATCGTGCAGATGTCACCGCAGATCACATTTGTTGGTTCAAACGGTCAAATGTGTTCGGACATGAGAAGTCTGGATGTCAGGATAATATACACTGAAGAGCCAAAACATTATAACACCTATTCAGTGACGCGTTGCGCGACCTTTGGCCTGCAAAACAGCTGCAACTCGCCTTAGTATGGATGCCACAAGTTCTTGGTAGAAGAATGGAGACAGGTTGTACAAAATGTGTAAGCATCGGTTACGCAAAGTCGAGATATTCCGACTTGGTGGAGGTGTTTGAGCTCTGAAGCTGCCGCTCCATTGACATCCCAAATGTGCTCTATCGGGTTGAGATCCGGCGAGTTAGGTGTCCAGAACATTAATTTGAATTCATTCTTATGCTCTTCGAACCACTCCAACACAATTCGAGCCTTGTGTCATAGGGTGTTGTCTGTGGGAAGATTCCATTTCCAGTTGGGAAGAGAGACGCAATGTAAGGATGCAATTGATCTGCAATTAAGTTCAGATAGTCCTCTGCTTTCATGGTCTGTTCTACTATAACTAAGGTCCCAGAGCTGCCTATGTGAACGTCCTCCAACGCATAATACCACCAGCAGCAGCCTATGTATGACATGCTGTTACAGGGGTGGAGCAACTGTTCGCCTGGAAGTCAGCGTATCTTGACACGACCATCGACTGATGAATGAGAATTCGCGATTCATCTGATCAAGCAACTGTCTTCCACTTATCCATGGTCCATTCTCGATGTTCTCGAGCTCACTGTAGGCGTAGTTGACAATGACGGTTGGTCAATAGAGGAACACGAAGGGGACGTTTGCTGCGCAGTCCCATATCTAACGCTGTCCGCTGAACTGTGCGTTCCGTAACACTTGCACTTTGTCATACATTGTATTGGGCTGTCAGCTGAACCACTGTCTGGCGCCGATTTTGCTGTATCAAGCGGGACAGTCTCCGACGTCTTTTTTCTTTGATGATACGTGGACGTCCAACATCTTGCTTCTACTGCTGGTTTAACCGCCATTTATCCACTTTGCACAAATACTAACAACGGCAGATTGTGAACAACTTACCAGTCGTGCAGGTACGGAGATATTTGTTCCTAGTCTTCGGGCTATTACAGTCTGCCCTCTATAAAATTCGCTAATGTCAGCAGCCTTTCCCATCACTCGCAAAAGTAAGTGCAAGAATAATTCCTTACCTTCTCCAGCAGCAGTTAAATATCATTCCCACGTTCATGGTCCTCCAATTATAAACGGTGAAAAATGTCGGGTGGTCATATGTCGGCTCGAAGTGTACTTGATTCTTTATGCTCCTTAAATTATTCTTGAAAAACTTATGCGATGTGGCAGAACGCGTTATCTTCTAAATTTACTTCCACTAACAAATTATTTCGAATGTACATAATCCATACCACAGTCCGAAGTTTCATATTAACCTCTACACTTATTACTGTGCTTAAGTTTCTCCAATACAACACACCTAGAGCATCAGGAGCTATTTGTTAGTTTACATTCTTCTCATGCAGCAACATAATAGCATTCGTTCCTCATATACATCGTGCATAATATTCCATGGCTGTCCAGATATATGTGTACAAAGTAACTCTTTAATATTTACATAGGTATTGGCGTTTACGACAACTGACAAGAGTTGCCGTGGGCACTCAGGTACTGTGTCTTTCGACTTCCAAACAAAGCCTTATGCGGCTTTTATTCGAAACGTTGGTCGTAAGAATATACAGTTACAAAAATGTTTTAAATAAAATAAAATGTTATGAATTATGAAATCTAACTATTTATACGCCTCTCCCCGTAATGCGTGCAGTTATATTAACTGACAAAATTATTTAAAAGTTGGGACATATCGGATCGTACACAGATTGAGATGAATGTTGGTTTATATTTAACTAAAATTAAATACAGTTTAGAGAAAGTTTCGAGTAAGACGAGCTGCTATGCAATGTAGTAAAATTATTAGCAATATTTTGTTTTTTCAAAGAGAGTGACACTCCAGAATCTTAAAGACTCAAGTTTAAAAGTAGCGGCAGGTTCGTACTTCACTTAGCCACTTGAAACATTTTTTATACATTAAAAATAAAAATAAGTGGAGCCTCGAGGACGAACACCTCTATTACGAGTAGTTCGAGATACGAGGAAAGTTGAGCGAAAATCTTTCTCAAATACAAGCTTACTCGAGACGAACAAGAACCAGGCTGTGGTGGCGTGGAGGTGACTTTGATCTAATTTTTGCGATGGTGAGTCAATGTTTATTGCATTTTAAGTGAAACAATTACTCAGATTCGCCCAGAAGATTGTTGCCGCAGATAGTCCATGATCGTTGAAATTAAGAAAGAAATCATAGATAAACAAGCTGGTTAAGAGTGACGGAATCGGCGAAGACTTACGGCCTTTCGATATCGACGATTTGCACTATTCTGAAGAAGCAGGAAGAAATTAAGACACTTGATGTAGCCAAAGGAACTACCGTTACTTCCAAGCACCGTCCAAAACTCTTAGATGACGTTAAGAAGCTGTTGGTTGTGGATTTACGAGAAGCATTAAAGTCGGTGTCGAGCTTTTGTGGAAAGCTATCATAAGGTAAACCAGTTATTTATTTACCAGTTTAATTTATTAGAAAAACTGATTTTTATGTTGATATTTTTGGGTGTGCGGAACGGATTAACTGGATTTTCATTATTTTCAGTGGGGAAGTTTGTTTCTAGATACGAGAAATTAGCTATACGAGCTCAATGCTGGAACGAATTAAACTCGGATCACGAGGTTCCACTGTATTTCTAGTTTAAAGAATTTTTGTATGACTTTTAGATTAGGATTCTAAAGTTATAAAACTGAATGAGAATATTAATAACATATTGCTAGCATTTGTATACTCAGAACCTACCAGGAAAATGAACCACAAAAATTTTAATTAATTTATTAATTACAACCTCCCACGGTAAACTGAAAATGATATCAAAATCCCAAATTTCAAAAATAATTTTTTGTCGCACAAGAGTCAAACTTTTTGTGACTTAGTTCTTATAACGAGTTTAAAACTTTCCTAAATATAAGGACCGTCTAAAAGGTTACTACTCGTAATTTTTTAAAAATTGATTTTTTTATATTTAAGAATGCCGATATATGAATATATGCGTAATTTAAAACACTCATGTAAATGAAAATACACTCTTTTGCAAAAAAATCGAAGCACAATGAAGGAAGTGATTGTTTCTGACGAAATTGAATATGTGTATAGCTCATACACACATAATAAAGTGATTAAAAAATCAAGGTCATAGTACCTATTCACGGCTCACAATCACCCATTGAGTGTTCAAATCAGTAGCTGGTCGAACCAACGGCGGCGGCATTGCATGCTTGAATTCCTCGAGGCAGGATGGTAAGGTTCCTAATGTATCCTGCGACATATCTGCAGGCATATCAGTTGTCGCTCATATCTGCGATATTTTGGTGCCCGAATCTGGCGGCTACAGTCCCAGAATGCTGGATTGGTGAAAGGTCTGGTGAACCTTGATGCCATGAGAGTATCAACCACACTAGGCAATCCGAGTATGCGAGCGGATGTGACCTGGCATATCTTCTTGGAAATGACCCCAGATGCGTGCCAGAAGGTAATGCAACCGCCGCTAGATGTATGAACAAATCGTTGAGCTGTTAAGATGTACCAGAGAATGACCAAAATGCTATTGTCATAAGAAATCGCGCTACACACCACCACATAGGGGTTATGCTGTATGCTTTGTACAACAAGGCTGTTGTGACGTGCCTGTCCTCTCCAGACGCGAACACGGTGGTCATCGCTTCAAAGAGTGAAGCGGGATTCATCGCTAAACGCTATACGATGCCCAGTCTGATGCAGCCAGATGACGGCTGCGAGTACACTCGAGACACTCCGCCGATGTTGAGTCAAAGCAACATCTTGAGAACTGTAAGCGTACTCCGCTCAGACAAGCGCATGAGATGGTGGACGTAGTACGTTGATAGTCGACAATGATACCGTTTGCAGCGGTTTGGGCCTGACGAACAAGATCCTATTTGCCTGCAGTGACTCTTGTCTTCCAGAGCCTTCATTTCGTCGGAATTTCATTGTAGCAACCATTGCTGCACATCTTTGCACAGCAGTGTCTGTACGCTGCAGGGGTGGCTATTGCTAGGTTTACCACCAACTTCACCAACCATATGCGAATACTCGAAGTCGTTTAGTTGTCTGTAAGGTCTTCGATATCGTCGTAATAGCATTTATTTGTTTCTTAAACGGAATTACGGCACACAAAAAAAATAAACTTCGCCTCTGTTACTGGTTTTATACTTCGCGAATGGCGACAGAAATTCGCGCTATATGCAATTCTGTCATTTGCTTCAAACTTTGTTCTTTTGCATGTTCGATCAAGATGTTTTTGCATACCAAATTTCGTCACGATCGCAAAAGTCCTTCATGGTGCTTCGATTTTTTTGCAAAAGAGTATATATGTCTAGGAACAACGGTTGTGAAAATAACTGCTGCATAAGACCTTTTGTGAACGCGGTGCATAGCCTCTTAATCAGATGGATTTCTTATACTCTGCATTGCCATATATTTTGCGCAGGATCCACCGTTACAATTATCCGCACGATTTAGGGAACAACAGGCCTTTTCGTTTCTTTCGTATTAGATATGAGATACCTATAACTGAGATCACACAAATGAATCCTGGTTGCCTAAAAGCGTGATAGTTATTTATGATTTTTCCTCTTTCAAATCAGTGTTGGTAGGTTTTTGCCAGGGTTAATTTTAAGCTTCCCATAAGCTTTCCCATTTAGTAAATGCTCAAGAGCAAAATAGTAGGTTTACTTGGTTCTTGTAATAAATATATTACTGATTCCATCCATAACTTCTGCAACCAAACTGACAAACATATATACTCATGACCTTGAAAAAGTTGTTTAAATAATTAATAACGCATTCCCTTTTATCTGGAAAGACTAACAATGCTTTGATTCTTCCAAGCAAACTGCATGCCATCCATATGAAAATTATGATTATACGAATCGCATAGCAATTTCTTCAAGAAAATTTAAGCATGATTTCATGAACCTCCCCTCCCCCAATGCAGCTTTCTGGATTTAGGTATGGGTATATGACATTCTGTTCATAGTTCTATGTGATTTATGGGAATCAGTACTGAAATTTTCATCAGAAACTGTACATCCTAAGAAACTTTCGTCCACTGAGCTTCTGCCCTGAAGATCTGAAGAGGTTCGTAATAAGTGTGAATATATTCCTGCAATCTATGGCACACATTCTACCGACATTTATGAAATTTCTTGGGCTATAAACTAAAAACATAATAACAATCTTCAGAACAAATAGGACACGAAAAAAAAAAAAAGAAAAAGAAAGAGAGAGGGAGAGAGAATTATCTGGTTAGAAATACTCTAATTGAATAAATTGCTTTGATTTACGTCATTTTTACACCTTCTTGTTCATAATTAACTTCACTTTTGCAAATTTACGTAAATGTAAAGAGAAATGGTTTCCCCTCTTTCATTAACAGAATTTAGACTGCTTAAACCCCAAAATCTCAAATTAATGTTTTCTGTACTTACTTTTTCTTTTTTCTTCACAGACTTCTGCTTCTTCTTTTTTTGTTTTGGAACAGAAAGGCAGATATTCAAAGGATCCGCCGTTAGCTGTTCTATTTCGTGTAGGAACTTCTCGGCTGCCTCTAAGACGTCAAAACTAAGTCCAGCCATTTTCCTGTGGTCGCTGGATAGGTACATGGTGTGGAACGTGCTACTTTCCTCAGCTTTGTAGTTCGAAAGATTATCTATAACGTCTTTCCACAACACAAAACCAGAACCTTTTTCTGCCAACACAATTTGAAGCATTCTCTTGTTTCGGGCGCGGGTATCACCTTTGTCCAAGAGGAGAACTGGAATTCCAGTCCTTGCTAATTCCCATTCTTTAGGTTTCTGGTTGCTGTCCGCGGATGTGAAATATAAATTAGCCAGACAGCGGCACACAGAGACATGAGTCTTATGGCTACGAAAAAATACCTCGACTTGCATAATGTCTTGCTCCGATAATTCTCCGCTCTCGAAAACACAACTGTTTTCATCGTAATCTTCATATTCTTCATTTGCATCTTCTAGTCGGCCATCAAAGGAACCCTTCGTTACGGAATCTCCCGATTCCGATGAAATGTGAAAGTTATCAATTTGGCTGTTGAGACATCGCAAGGAATCGTATTTTTCCATAATGAATTTCACGGCATATTTTTCGTTGTTTGAGTTCTTAGTCACGATCTGTGGGTCGGAGTAGATCTGTTCCGGTTTTTCTTGGTAGTTTTTGACGTTCCCGTTTTTGCAAGTTTGGTAAATGACTTCATTTGTTTTGTAGTGTTCCATTCCTGACAGAAATTAAGATATAATGAGATATCTGTAAAAACACACAAAGAAGTTAGAGAACACTGCTTAGCATCTCAGCTGCTTTTCTATCCAGTAATATAATTTGGAAAGTCTTAAGACACATGCGCACATCTTTCGAACGTTTGCCTTGAGATATTAAAAAATCTGCAAGAAAAAACAAAACAAGAGGTTACTCAAAAATTTACATTACATAACTTTAATAAGTATAATATTGTAAAAAAAAATAATCTGCATTTTAAGCGAAAATAATGAAGTAAAACACATCACCAACACGTTATACATAAAAAAGTTCAGCAAACATAGTTTATGCAAAATACAAACTTATTCACAAGCCTATTAATGTATTAACACATTAAGTTGAAATTTCAGCTTTTAGTTTGATTATGTAACAGCAAACTATAGAGTAGATCAAGTTTTTAACAGCATATCGAAAAATTTGATATTACAGATTCCTGTACGACATAACTGTTTATAAGACTTTTCTCTAATGAACCATCTGATGTGCATACCACATAATTTCCTTGTATGGCGTATTAAATTATACTTTTTGGGGGGGGGCTGTACTTCATTTCAATTTATTTCCTCTAATTTCATTAAAGATATATTTCTCATTCAATCAATTCAGTTCTCACTTCGCGGCAAGGAAAATATACATGAAATCTAAAAACCTCTTCATTAAAAATTGTACAATACAAGAAAAACCTAAAACACCAAATAGTTAAAAGCAGTTAAAAAAAAAAAAAAAACATTCTTACAATTAAAATTAAGAGTTTTATACGTAAAAAATAAGCAGTTCGGCCAACGGACAGAAAAACAAAAATTCACAAAATTGAAAGTTAACTTTTCGTCCCACTGTGACGCTGAAGTTGGTGCACCAACTGACTTAATTCACTATTCTACTAAGAGTTTCAAATGTAAACAAATGACAGCTTCTTATGTTCTTTCCATTTAAACTTATAAACTGTTGATAATGCTACAACTATTGCATGCAGATTAACTAAAGGCATAAAAATGTTAACCGGAACATAAGAACAACATAATTCAACCACTTTTAAGGCAAAAAATGCACAATCTACAAACATATATGAATAAAAAAAACTGAGCTTACGGAGTCGGGTAACAGATTTGGAATATATACGTTTGGTGCGGCGGATTGCAACGAAAAAGAAGTGCACAACTAGATGTTATAGCACTCCCATGTACAAAATTTTAAGGTTCTACGGCTATTCGTTTTTGAGTTATGCGAGATACGTACAAATATCTCTCTTTCGCAGGTAAAAATTTCAAATTTCATTTTCTTTTTAAAAAACTAGCAGAAATACAAATGTAATTTGGCATTAAGGTTGAATTTCGGCTATTCGCGCGAATGTGTTTAAAATCAATGGCGAAGTAAACTTGAACCTAATTGCTTTTAAAGCTTAAACTGGCGTTTGTGGCTTGCATCTTAGTTCTATAACAAAAACAAAGTGTTTTGTTTATAAAGGGCGTCCCATAAAGAAGACAACTTTTGAAATGCACACTAATACTGTTCTAGTAAGTTGCCAGTACTGATCGTTACACGATTTTCATCTGTTACCTTTGTACTTAGTAGTCATAAAACGCCGAACATAGAATGGTTGTCACTCGCTTCACGATGGAACAGTGTGTTATCATAGTGGAAAACTTCTTACAAATGTTGTGAAGTTGTGCAGAGACAGTTCGCAATCTCCGTGGAATGTTTGGTCAACGTAATGCAGCGAAGAAGTCTATTGTTATCAAACTGATAGCTAAATCTGAGAAAAACCCGTTCGGTTGTGGACATTAAACCCTCAGAATATCCTGGTTTTAGTCGTCTTGCGGAAAACATCACCATCGTGAGTGATAATGTTGCTGTAAGTACGTTGACTAGTTACGAGAAAAGTTGCCTGGCCAGCTGATTCCTCGCAAGAGTGACGTGAATTGCCCACCCAGATCTTGTGATTTGACATCATGTGATTTCTTTCCGTGAGGGTATTTGAAATCTCGTGCATACGCCAGAAGATCACTTCCAGAGATCAAGGCCGAGATTCAACATATAATTTCAAAACTACAGGTACAAAGTACGCCGGAAAGTTACAGCAAATTTCATCGGAAAAGCGAGAATGTGCCTGTAGAGTTGTAGAGTCATTAGAGTAATATCAAATTCCATACATAATCACAGGTATCATACACTGCTAAACTATGTAAATTACTTAATTCCATCGCACTCAAAGTTGCGTTTTTTTATGAAACGCTCAATCGCTTCGAGTTATTCCTTTTTATGGCCGTTTAAAAGAGAGTCTTCTTTAGTCATCATCAAAAATGGCTCGAAAGCCAATACATTCGCATAAAATTTAATAAGTAAAATGTATTAAATAAATTTCCGCCAGCGCTTGGTGCAGCTACATAAATTTAACCTTCGTGACCAAGCACTTTCGCATTCATCGGATAACAATATCCTTTCCACGTGTGGCAAAAAAAAAAAAAAAAAAAAAAAGAAAAAGAAAAGAGCTCCATTCCGGTTTTGCAAATGAAACCCATTTCATGAGAGATTAAATTTGCACAGCATTGTTGCGTACACCTAGAAATTACAATGCAGAACAGGCCGGTCAGCCGTCATGACCATTGTTCACCACCGACTCCCTTGAAGAACTATTTGCTTTTCGCGGGACCACGCCCAGATGGGAGCAGTTCGAGACCGGTGGTGGAAGACATGTTATTTGCATTTAAAAAATTCTTTTTATTTCTCTTCTGCAGACAGTGCACTTTTTTAAGATAAATGGCAGGGGATAATGAAATGCAAATTTTTGTACTGTTACTTTAACGAAAAAGTGTTCCTTTTTTGTATCTTGTTCATGAGGTGTAAATATTCTTAAAATGCAAAGATACTGTAAAGCATGGGTTCTCAACCGATGGTAGGCGTATCACTGGTGGTACGCAAGAGAAAACAGGTGGTACGCAAAGAAGGAAAGTATTTTTAACTATTAAATTCAAAAATTAAAGCCCCAACACTCTGATTGAGTTTTTTCTCTAACACTCGTAAATTTATGCGATCTGAGCTTTGTTCAAGAGTGGTGGTGGTAGTGGCATTTTAAAATGGTGGTACTGAAGGTTTTCATTCTTTTTTTAGATGGTACGCGTTAGTCAAAAGGTTGAGAAAAACCGCTATAATATATTTTCTCCCTCCTTTCGGCATGCCTTCGTGGTGTAACAGTAGCCCACTCGCCGCGTATTCTACAGGTCCAGGTTCGAGTTCCGGCGAGGGCAATGGTCATTTTTCCCGTTTCCTCTTTCAGAAACTCCTAATGGCTTTGCAGTGTCGTCTGAACAAAAACGTGGTGGATAATAATTCGCCACCACCAGGATCTGTTGACTGGGTCTCCTAATCCCCAGTCGCCCTTCAAAAGAGGGTGTATATAGGGTATTTCATCCTTCCTTCCAACACGCTTTCGCGGTGCAACGGTACCACACTCTTCGCGTATTCGAGAGGTCCAGGTTCGTGTCCCGCGACGATATTGCATATTTCTCTCCCCCTCCCCTCCTGCTTAAAAAAAAAAAAAAAAAAAAAAAAAAAAAACTAACGCCTCTGCTGTACAATAGATATGATCTTTCCCGTTATAATATATACCAGAAAATTTTCTTTAGACTGTTCATCAACTTCATACTTCGAGCCAGAAAACGTACGTCCATCATCAGCTCATTTCTAAATTTTTTTTAAAATAAGAAATGCATGTTTTAACGTCAGTTTATTTTAGATCAGAAAGAAGGAAATAGAATAACACATTTATTATATATAGAATAACATTTTTATTGATAAGTTCATCATTTAAAAGCTTTTTATTGGCAAGAGCACCGTTGTACGAGATAAGAACGATACATTTAGTTTAACGTTAACCAACTTGGAAACGGTGACTTTTTTATACAAAACTGTTCGGAGCAAGTTGTTTTATAACGAAAAAATTCAAAAGTTGACTTAAACTTATGTTATTTGAGCATATATTTCGAAAATTCTTAATTTAAGTTCGGTGCGACTATAAATCGCTAAATGTCAGCTACCATAGTTACGAAGTTTCAGCATTTAAAATTAGATTGAATATCATTTTAAGAAAATCTGAATATATTGACAACATTTAACCTCAACCCGACGGTATTTCATAAAAATCATGCTTTTAGAAGAGACAGAAATCGCTTCTTGAAGACGAAAGGATGCATGTAAATCTCCGTAGTATGCTGTTCGAAGAAGATGGGTCATAAGCCAATCTCTTATGAAATGCATGCAGTTTTTCTGTAAAACCATTACCAATCTAAGTCTAAATGTTGCCTAATTATTTAAATCTGAAATTAAGGTCCTTCGTAATCATGCATTTATAAAAATAAATCCTTTTCGTCAGTGACTCGTGATTTCTTTCCTTCCAGGAGCAGAAATATCCGAATACTATGCCAACTTCGCTTGAAATGCAAACAATTTTCTGTGCAACTATCGTTAATATGAACTCGAATTTGCGTCTGAGGTGCTTATATTAAAAAAAGGGGGGCAGGGACAATTATTTCAGTTGACGCAATTTTTAACTCTTTTCTTCTTTTATGTCACTTTTCAAGAATTCACCTGAGAACCTATGAGAGTTCTTAAAAATTACGCAGACTTTTGTTAAACGACATAGCTTTGCGGTGTTTATCATTTTCAGTTTGAGGATTTCGTGTTCTGGTAAAGTATCAAACGTCGTAAGCAAGCAATTTAAGAAAATAAATGCACAATTCGATCTTCAAAAATTAATCCTCCCCCCCCCCCCCCTTTTTTTTTTTTGAATAAATTCCTAGTTCTGCAGACGGAGTTAATTTAATATAAAATAATGTCACATCAAATTTTTCTATGACTTTGCAATTTTGAACAGGCCGTTTTTTAACATGAAAGTTTTATGATTGATATGTATTTTTTGACGATTCACTTTTTAAACTAGTAGATTTACTGTAATTGTTTCGTAGGTTAAACTAATTTTTAATCCAAAGGGACAATTTGCCCAGAAGGACTATTAATTTCGTTTTGGCATTTTTTGTCGATTCACGATAAGCGTTGTTTCACATTTCAAATTGTTACAACCAAATATTATCACCCTGTATTATATTTGAAGCAATTAAATAATGAAGAA